GTTGTTAAAAAAAAAATAAAGCTAAAAATTTAGTTTCCAGGTTGCTCACATTTCAAGTGCTCACTAGCCGCATTTAGCTAGTGGCTACCAATATAGGATGGTGCAGCTGTGGCACAGGCCTTATTATCCAAGTGTCCAGGGAAAAGCAATTGTTTCATAAGATACTGAGTCTACTGCAGGCATTTTCTTGTGTTGTTAGCATTTCAGAGTGTCTGGTAGTCTGTTACTTGGTGAGTGTGAGTTGTGTAGCTTTGCCTCTGGCAGGACCCTTCATTGTTAATTTGAAAGCACAGTTAAAAACATACTCTCTTTCCTAACAGAAGAAACTAATTTTTTTCTTCCTGGCATGTTTGAAAATTTTAATATCTTGTCTCACCGAGGTAGTTCTTGCCTCAGAGTGTTTGTGCTTTACCCTAATACTAAACTGAAGTTTTAATATTAAAAAATTGAATTAAAAAATTGAATTTGAGGCAAGTGGTTTTAAGCAGAATATAGTAGTCTGATGATAATGTATTATATAGAAAGCCAAAAACAAAAAACCTTGATGCAAACCAGAGAGATCACAAGTGAGCCAGGTGAATTTAAGTGGAAAACAGATGGAATTTCAACTCAAGGTAAATGGTGACAGTGGAATATGAAAGGCACAAAAAGGTCAGTGGAATCTCTGCCTAGGGGAGTGTGGGAAGAGGGATGGAGCCTTCTGTTAGTGGCAGAGAAGAACCCCAACCTCATAAAAGATAGCAAAGGGTAAGCTTGCAGAAGTGCCAAAGTAGAGATTTAATGGATAAAGCAAGGCCACTTGTTACTCAAAGCACACAATGAATCGGCATGAGTAGTGTTGGTTCTCTTGCCTGTATCCCCACCCGGTATCCCTGGGATGTGATGCAGTAGGCCTACATGGTGGCTAGGTGGGAAGTGGACATGGGCCCAAGGGCTCCACCTTTCCCAGCAAGCAGCAGGCAAGCCAGTCTTCATGCTGAAGTCACCTTGACCTACTTAGTTGCCTGTATGACCAGCTGCAGATACTGCTCAGAATCTAGTAATTTTACCCGGATGTTTTTTTTAAGATTCCATTATATCTTGCAGTGGTCTTTCTGACACCTTTCACTGGATGTTTAATAGAGACTTTAAACTGGCCAATTACCTGGCTGAGTTTATTGAGATTTTTATTTTATTATTTTTGACTACTTGAATAGAGTTACGCCACTGCTGGACCTTTTTTGTGAAAGGATGGGAGAGCATTTTTCTGAATATATTTTTTAAAAAATTATTTTAATCCCCACCCAAGGATATATTTATTGATTTGAGAGAGAGAGAGAGAAACGTCAATGTGGAAGAGAAACATTGGTTGCCTTCTGTACACCCCCTCCTGAGTGGGGATCAAACCCGAACCCTTTTTTGGTGTACCAACTGATGCTCTAACCAACCAAGCCACCCTACCAGACCTGAATTTATTTTTAATCAACAAATTCAGAGTTCTTAACTGAAATATTGAAGCTTCATTACTTTTCGGACAAAGTTATTCAATTTTATAAATAACAAAAGACCCCTATTGTAAAAAGCCATGAGCTCTGCTTAACAGAGAATGTTCTAGCTATGGAGATGAGAAGTGTTATTTTCTTGCATCATACTTACACTATGAGCTTCCTCTGCTAATTCAATAACTCCTTGTACATATGAAATGGCAAATTTAAGCTGCTTTTCCAGCAAGATGTCCCCGATATGCAGACTTAAATAGATGTGTGATTTTTATAAATTTCTCAATGTGAAAAAAATAAAGTTTTGAAATTGTAGTATATTTGGGCATGATAAAATCTGTTTCGTTCTGTGCAGGCAAGCTCTCCATTCTTATTAATTAAATGGATTATTGAATGACCTTTCAACTTTTGGGATGAGCTGTCACTTTTTATTCTTCTGATCCAATAAATCATGTTGGTGACTTTGGCAGACTAACTATCAAGTGAATTTCTTTACTGGCTGCTTTTTTCCTTCTTTTCTCTTTTTAGCTTTGGCTGTCCACCAAGATTCAATCCCCTCCTGGAGAGTGGTGTCCATTGGTTCTGCCAATTCATGTCCTATCTTAAGTCTTGCTTTTTCTTCTGACAGCTTTGGGATCTGAACTTTTATGACATGCTTTTTTAAATTTTTATTTAAATTTTGAACTAATTTTATACTTGCAGAAAAGTTGCCTAAATAGAGAGTTCCCTAATTCCCTACCGTCACCTAGCCTCCCCCAATGTTAACATGTTATATAACCATTTGTGAAAACCAAGAAATTAACATTGGTACAGTATTATTAACTAAACTGCAGACCTTATTTGAATTTTGCCAGTGTTTTCATTAATGTCTGTTTTCTGTTCCCAAATCCAGTCTGGAATCCCACATCACATTTAATTACTTTTTCTCCCTAGTCTTCGGCACCCTGTGACAATTCCTTTCTTTCCTTATCTTTTATGACCTTGAGACTTTTGCAAAATAGTGGTGATTGTTTATTTTATTGTTCAGATTGTTTCAGCTTTGGCCTTTAGGAGCATCTTGGGTTAGTTCCCATGTCCTTTGAATAAGTCCCTATCCTTTCATGTATTTATACCCACGCATATGCATATATCTATAGTTGTGTGTGTTAAAAGCCATAAGTTTATACTGATTTCCTCTGGTTCCAGTATAATATTACAGGGTTCATTTTAGGGGTCCCTTCTTAATACTAGTATATAACTTCTTTCTCTCTGCCCTCAGAGTACTAGCTCTGATGGTCTTTAGTTTTACGGTATCCAGTTAAGATACTGTTTTTGGTTACTCAGTTTTTTATCCCTAAGCCTTCACCCCTTCATTGTATTTTGGTACATTTGTGATAAAATTAGGTGTAATTTCTCATGTTTGTATTCCACATTAGGTTTCCCCACATATGGGTTGGTTTAATGATTTGTTTTGTTTTTGAGCACGTGAAGGGTGTGAAACAAGAGTCTGATATAAAAATGGTCTACTCAGAGGAGGGGCAGGCCACCTCATTCTTGTTCTCCAGTTTCTATTCTTACTTCTTTGCCCCCCATCATATAAGGAACCAATCTCTGTACTTTCTGGTTTATTCTTCCTGTGTTTCTTTGGGTTTGTGCCATTTTAAACCCATCAGGTTTGTATTAAAGATTGTCCAGCATGGCATTAGGGACATAGTCATTTCTACTTCATTCTTGACAGCCACTCCTCTGAAAGAAAAGACATCACTGCTGGGAGGTAGACACCACTGCTTGTGCGGAAACCTCGTGTGTTTAGTACCGTAATACTTTATATTTTAGCCACTTAGGTATAATTTGGTAACTTTAAAATGTAACCAATATCGTATTGCTAATAAAGCAGAAAGTGGCTAGGAAAAAAAATGTATCTTTTCCTACACCATCTTATTCATCATCTAAATATTTAAGTCCATTTCTAATCATACAAGTCTTACATATATTCCTTGGGGAAAGAAAGAACTCTTCACACATAAGGATAAAGTCCTTTTTGCTCTTCATCTCATATTCTTTGAGATACTTTTATACATTTCTGAACATGTGTGCCAGTAGGAAAAAAAATACTGTTTTATAAATGTGAGGGTTTTTTTTTGTTTGTTTGGGGTATTTTTTTTTAAAGAAAAGGTAAACTATCCTTCCTCAGTTTTTTCACTCACGTATGCCTTTAAACCTATGCATGTTTTATAGGTAGTCCTGCCCCATTGCTTTTAACATCTGCAGAGTGTTTCTTGGTGCCTTTCCTCACCCGACTCTTAGTGCACATATGTGGATACTAAGAAGTGGAATTGCGGGGCTGTAGGCTATGTCCATGTGTCATTGTGATCAGTACAACGTGTGTCATTGCTTTCCCTCGTGGTTGCCATTTTACCTTTTCTATCAACATCCTATCAGAGCACTCATTTCTTTATTGATCATCAATACTTGATATTTCCTATCTCAAGTTCTGGACAATTTGAGGATAAAAGGTGTTATTTTGTTTTAATTTGCTTTCCTTTGAAATAGTGAGGTTGAATGTATTTTCATGTAATTATTAGCCTTTAACATTTTATTTTCTGTGATTTGCTCATTTTTAAAAAAATATATATTTTATTGATTTTTTACAGAGAGGAAGGGAGAGGGATAGAGAGTTACAAACATCGATGAGAGAGAGAGAAACATCGATCAGCTGCCTCCTGCACACCTCCTACCAGGGATGTGCCCGCAACCAAGGTACATGCCCTTGACCGGAATCGAACCTGGGACCCTTCAGTCCGCAGGCCAACACTCTATCCACTGAGCCAAACCGGCCAGGGCGATTTGCTCATTTTTAACTGTTTTTTTCTTACTAATTTGTATGAGATTTTGTATGTGCTAGACTCATTCACTTATTGATCTCTTATAATATGCCCAAACACTGTTGTAGGTTCCAGGGTAACAGCAATAAACCAGGCTTCTAATTTCACAGAACTTAAGATTTTTAAAAAATCTAAATAAGTCAGTAAAATTATATAGATGTTAGTAAGTGCTATTAAAAATAGGGTAATGGTAGAGAGAGTGCCTGAGTAAGGAAGGAGCCCAGTTTTTCCATACAGACTTTATCCTCTGGTTATTTGCCCTGAGATGGGATGGTCAGAGAAGGCTTCTCAAAGAAGGTGCAGTCGGAACTGAAACGTAAATAAGAAGGGGCTCGCCATGGAAGTGTCTAGACAGAGAGAGAGCAGCATATGTCTGGGCTCTAAGATGGGGCTGGTGAGTGAGGGGCAGCATAAAATGAAGTCGGATCAGCACAGATGGACAGAAGCAGTGGAGGTGATTGTCAGAGTGTTACTCAGGAGTAGGCGAGAGGTCTGTGTTAGGAGGAGGTTTCTTAGCTCCTCTTCCATTCCTGTCAGGCTAGGTGACCAAAAAGGGCTTTGCTCTGGGGAATTTGTGCGTCTAGACTTGATCATTGGGTTTTGTGGTTGTTTTAAGGCATAGGCCTTTTCTTTAATAAAGGAAAATTTTCTGTTTCAGATTACCTAGGAACAGTACGATTTGGGGTTATCACAAATAAACATCTTGCGAAACTGGTATCCTTAGTACACTCTGGAAGTGTGTATTTACATAGACATTTCAACACATCACTTGTAAGTATTTTGAAATCACGTTTCTATTAGTGCAGTGGTTCTTAACCTTATTTAGGTCACAGACTTCTTTGAGAATTGGATAAAATCTGTGGACACTCTCCCTAGGAAAGTGCACATGATTTTATATGCAAATTGAGAGTTCTTGCAATCCCACTCTAGGGCCCATGCCCCTGGTTAAGAACCCATGCATTAGAGGGCTCTTGAATTTAAAATCTAGAAATTCTTTGTTTATATTCTTAGGTTTTGGGACAGCCTTGTTAGTTTTCCTTCTTGGATAAAATTACAGAACTATTCCGTTGGGGAATTGATACTCTGGGCCCATGTTCTCAGAGGTTAAGCCTCATTTGAGTGATGTTCTTTGTTCATTGGTTCCATTTATTGATAAAGAGTAGCAATATGGCATGCTTTTCTCCTTAGCTGATATAATGAATTTTGAAGTTCTTGTCAAGTCACAGTGAGAAGTTGATGACTTCTCACCTCCATTGTTGTCTTTGTTTCCTGATTTCATTTGCTTTTGGTGGACCAACCTCAACTCAGCTATTTCTGAACTTTTGACCTGTATCCTGCTAGTCCTGTGCTTCTGCTCTATTTATTGTTGCTTCCTTGGCCCCAGTATTGAGAGTTTACTTCTCTTAAATATGTTCTATTTCTAACTTCATTGACAGTATCAGTGACTTAAAGGTTGAGTGAAGACCAATAGTCTCTCTGTACCCGCCTTGGCTCAGCAGACAAATCTTGTACCTTGTAGGTACAGGTCGGCAGCACTCTCCAGGGGACCCCTCCTTGGTTGCCAGTCACCCCAGCTTCTGCATATTTCTAATAGACCACATGTTGTGCTTTCCTTCTTGCAATTTATATCCCAAAAAATCAAATGTATTTTCTAAATAGAAATGTTTATTATGATGTTTATGATATTTTAAACTCTCATCGTACTACTTTGAGAATCACTGCTTGTGATTATCTTCCTTCCACACACCCACTCTCCTTGCGCCCCTGTCTAAGCTTCTTTTAACTCCAACTGCTTTTGCTGTCTATCATTTTTCTTCATCTGTCTTTCATAACATGCTTTATAACCAACATATATCATATTTATAATAAAGAGTACTGAGGAAGAAATTAAAATAGATGGAGAAAAGAAAATAGGACTATGAGAATGACACTGAAAAATATATTGGGTTTCCTGCATCCATTCCATAGATTAAAGTTGGTTGTTTGATTTACCAGCAGAATTCCTTTTATCAAATGAAATATTGTCACGATACTAGTATTTTAAAAAATAAATGCAATGGACATCTTCGTTATGAATCTATTTAAGCCTGTTGTTTTGGGGGTGGCCGGGTATAAAATACCTCATTGTGTGGAACCCTCCAAAGCACTTTTGTGTAAGTTTTGTTTCAAACTTACTGATATATATTATTGGAATTTCTAAAATAATTATATATTGACACACTTGGGTTGTTGTAGGAAAACAAAGCAAAAAATCTAAGCATCTCTTTCCTTCATTCTGTACACATAAAGTGTGATTCGTGGCCTTATGCAAGTTCTAGGTCATTTATGGATTCATTCAAATATTTGTTGAATTTCAGCTCTGTGTCAGTGTTCTTCTTAGCCACTTGGGCTATAGATGAGCAAAACAGATACAGATTGTGTCCTAATGGAAGGTTCATTCCTGCCCTTATGAGCCAGCCTTTGAGGGGCAAGGTAAAAATTTAAATGAACCATGACTCCATAATTTGTTCCCTTGGATAGTCACTGATCCTTTTATAAAATAGCCCAATAACACTAATAGCTCCCCTTTATAAGGTGGTAGAGGTCCCTGTTGCCAGCAGCAGGCAGGGAGAATTATTTATTGATCGATGAATCTGTCTAATGGGAAAAAGATAAGTCACACGATATGAAAGTCACCTCTTGCAACTACTTTTGCTTTTTCCAGCCACTTGTGAGGAAATGCTCTGCCTGGAGAAGTAGAGCCAGGTTCTAACTGCACGGGCAGGGGCAGGTCGTGTGGCAGCTGTAGGCCTCATTTTCCTCACCTGTGAAGTGGTTGGGTTAATTGGTTCTCTTGAGGACAGTGCTGCTGTGCTTTGATCCTGCCCTACCTTTTATCCCGTGTTTGTCCTTCACAGGTCTTTCCCAGGGAGGTCATCAACTACACAGCTGAGAACATCTGCAAGTGGGCCTTAGAAAACCAAGAGACACTCCTTCGATGGCTGCGGCCTCATGGTGGAAAGAGTCTCCTGCTATTTATTTATTCCTTTTAATCCCTTAGCCGAAAGTCATCCTTTAATAGATGAGGTAAGAGTCCTAATGTTAAAAGGTATCTCATAAGGAGTAGGAAAATCTCAATCCCTGGGACTTCTTTCATTGCATGTTCAGAATAATTTCCACGAGTAGCTGAGTGGTTGCCAGGAGTGGCAGTTGTGTTCCTACAGTTACTCCTTTGTCCTGTAAAGGGGCAGGAGAGCCATGCCTAGGATAGGAACCACCAAAGCCTCTCTGGCCACATTTACTGACAGCTGCTCAGGTCTGGGTGAGTCGGAGGGGACAGGGAAACCAAACCATGCCTCTCCAGAGAAGGACCATATGTCCCTCTTCCTTTGATGACTAATGTCAGGGAGTGGGATGGACAGTAACAGGCAGGGTTTAGTATGGCCTAGGACAGTGGTTCTCAACTTTCCTATTGCCGCAACCCTTTAATACAGTTCCTCATGTTGTGGTGACCCCTAATTTCATTGTTACAATTTGAACATAGTTAAAGCATAGTGATTAATCACAAAAACAATATGTAATTATATATGTGTTTTCCAATGGTCTTAGGCGACCCCTGTGAAAGGGTCGTTCGACCCCCAAAGGGGCTGAGAACCGCTGGCCTAGGAGATGCTATTGTCATGGGGGCCGGCCAGACTGCTGGCCCTCGCCATCTTCAGCTCAAGAGCCAGGAGCAATAGTGCTGACATTGGGATCCCTTATTTTTCTAAACCTTTCTCTTATGCAGATAGCCAGAGTCTGCCCCTCCGTCCTGCCTTTCTGCTTCATCTGGTGTACTCACTTTGGGTGTGAGTTTATTTCATACATGGATCATTTGGAGCCACTTAGAGAGCAATAACAATCAGCAAAGAGCACCTGAGATTGCTAAATTGGATTTACTGGGGGTTTTATTTTTTTCTTCCCTCAAGGATCCCTTAATTTGGTCAAAACCAATTTCAGACAGCCAGTTTATCACTGGCCAGGTTAACCAGACACTGCCTGTCCCCAGCCTGTCTGTGAGCCTAATGGTGTGCCTAGAGGGAATGGGAGGCAGGGTTCTTGTCTAGCCAGACCCTTCACTTTGTTTAAGTTATTATCCCTGCAGGGGGACGTTCTGAATGTTCGCTGCTATCCTGGTTTAGAGGAAGAAAGAAGAAATGAAGTAGCTTTGTTTCTGCTTTGATTAAGGAGGATTTGAAGTCTTAAGACTTAATTTCTTTAGAAAATCTTCACTACACATTTTACTAGTATGACCTGAGACACTCTTCTGAGTTATTAGGCCTTTACTGCATCTAATATTAAGAGCTTTAAAACTTTGTAGAAAAGGAGGGGTTTTCAAGCAAGATGTGGGTTTTTACTTTAACTTTTAAACTTTCCTTCTGAAGAATTTTGTTTTGTCTAGTTTGGGCATGCCAGGGTCCTGGGTGGGTGGAATTTTATAGAGCCTACTTCTCTGTTTAGGAGGTTGTGGTTGGATTTAGACACCTGGTGTAAGGACTCTTTCCTTCCAGCCCTTTGTTCCTGGCTGAATGTCTCTCCCCATCTCCGCTGACTCCTTTGTCTATGGCTAGGCCTTCTGTTTATTACACTTTTGCCTATGGCTCCTTTCCGTAGGGTTCATAGTGTCCCTGCAAGGTGAATGGATTCCCTTAACCTGTGTGGTTAAAGTTGCTGAAAACCAAGTGGCATCTTAGCAGTATTGGGAATTACTTAGCAAGTAAAATTTAGGAGATGTTTACTGAGCACCATGTCAGGGAGCCACAGGGGAGAAAGTTGGAAAAGATACAGGTTTGGTCTCATGGTCTCAGGGGCTTGTCCAATAGGGGAGCAAGATCCTGCTTATAATTCAAGGCAGAGGAAGGTCTGCCCCAGGAATTGAAGGATAGAAGGCAGTGTTCCAGGAAGCTGGGGACTGGGCAAAGGAGAGGTTGGGAGAGGCTATGGGAGGGGCAAGTATTTGAGACAGACCTTCATTAGTGGCCAGGGTCTTAATGGATTGAGAGAAATTTACGGGAAGGAACAGCTTGAGCAAAGGCACAGGGCTGGGGAAGTTGCAGCAGTTTTAGGTTTTAGAAAATAGTACAAGTTGCCTGGCTTTCATAAATGGCTGGATGGAAAAGACCCCAAAAAAACCTTTGGAAGAGGGCCCTTAGGTGCTTCTTGGAGGACTTTAGCATTCATCATAGCTATCAAAGTCTCACTGACAGTGTAGAAATGTCAGGAGAGCTGTGTGTTACTATTATTAAAGTTTTCCTGGTAGCAGTGTTCCATAAAAGAGAAGAATAGTAAGATCCTGAACTTGGATGCTGGTGGTGGGATGGGAAGCGGGTAATGCCGGGGAAATAGTGACACATTGACCAGAGGAGGAAGGGTGGGAGGAATGAACACACTTCACAGGGTGAGTTCTAAACTCATTGGCTGCTCAAACACAAAATAGTTTAAGCCTTAATCCTTATTTTTCCATTACCACCTTTAGGCCTAATTTTGGGCAGACAGCTGAGGAAGCTTACATTGTGAGAAGAATGAGGTAATCGTGGAATGAGGGTAGTAGAGTTGGGGGCTTGCCAAGCAAGGAAGTTTGGAGCAGCTGTGGTGGGCAACGTGAGGGGGGTCAGTAAGATGGCCATGTGGTGGCCACACTGTGAGGTTCAGCCCAGGACCAGGCAGCTGCTCCCACACACATACCCACTCTCCCCACAGGAGAGCACAGCCTGTACTGCGTACAGCATCAGGCCATGACCCCTGGGTCACTAGAGGCTAGAGAAGTCATAAGACATCTCAGTGTGCTTATCAAGAGATGATTCCCGCAGCCAGCAGAGTCTCTGTGACTTGTTTTCAGCTCTCACAGCCCTGCTTTGAAGCATTCATAGTCTGTGAGTTTGGTGAGCAAAGGTGGTTATGTTGTTCAGATTTACCAGTTTCTCTGATTAAAGAAATGGAATGAAGCAGTTATAGTGCAAACAAACTTATTTGCCAAAATTTCCTTATTAGTTCACATGAAATTAAATATGGCACCAAGTGATTTATATATGCGATGTAACTTGAGCTACAGTTTGCAAAACTGCCTGTTATATAAAAGGAATATAGGCCTGGTTGGTATAGCTCAGTGGTTGCGCCCCCCCCCCCCCCCACACACACACTCCCACCCCACCAAAGGGTCTCAAATTCGATTCCCAGTCAAGGGCATGTACCTGAGTTGCAGGTTTGATCTTTGGCCTGAGTCTGGGCATAAGTGGAAGGCAACCAATCAACGTCTTCCTCCCTCCCTCCCTCCCTCCTACTGTCTCTAAAAATCAATGGGAAAAATATCCTAGGGTCAAGAATATAAAAACAAAGGAATATAAAAGTAAAAACTGGCTCACTTTACAGGAGAAAAATAAAAATTCCTCATTCTTCAAGAGCGTTACTCTATACAGAATAGTTTCTTCAATTAAAAATATCCTTGATATGACTGCTTTGTGAGAAAAAGAATGAAAGATGAGAGAAAAAAGACTTTTTAAGGAATTTTGCTGTACTTAATATACTCCTACTTGGACCTTTTGTAAAAGACTGCAGTAAATACTTGAGTTGGGGGTGGGGGTATGGGTAGGAGTGGTAATGTACTATTGTGTCTTTGAATATTAAGCAGTACCAAGATGGGGCCAGAGGGCAGCTGGGCTCTTTATGGATTGTAGAGGCCTGACCTTACTAGTGTAATATATTGTCAGAGTCTTATCCAAAAAGGGCTGAGAGGCTTATGTTATGTTATGGGAAAGAAACAAAACACTAGCTATCATCTAAAATGACCTTTTGTGCCCAAGAATTATTGAAACTATTTTTCTGTACAAATGCATATGTCTTGGATTAACTCTCTCTATAAATATATTTTATTAAATTTGGAGGATTTTTTTTAATATATTTTATTGAGTTTTTACAGAGAGGAAAGGAGAGAAATAGAGAGTTAGAAACATCGATGAGAGAGAAACATCGACCAGCTGCCTCCTGCACACTCCCCACTGGGGATGTGCCCGCAACCAAGGTACATGCCCTTGACCGGAATCGAACCTGGGACCTTTCAGTCCGCAAGCCGACGCTCTATCCACTGAGCCAAACCGGTTTCGGCTTGGAGGATTTTTGAAATTGGAACAGCACTCATTAAATGGCGTTCACACACATTTAATGAAAAATAATCCTGAGTGGCTTATCCTTTTAACTGACTGGCAAGATTTGGTCCAACTTAGCATATGATTCTATTTTAGAGAGTAAATACATTTTGTGAATATGACTTGCTCGTCTTTCTTTTGAAACTGGGGTGAGTGATGGGTGGTGAAAGTTACTTAGTTTGGAAATGGAAGAGTCTTGGAATGAAATGTAAATCTAAATGGCTAATACCTGAGGGCTAACAGTTAATCTTACTAGGAAATGGGAGCATATAAGTGCCACTTGTTCAACAGGTATTTATTGACCATTGTTTTGTGCGTGGCTCTGTACTAGGCTCTGCAGATAGCAGGATAAATCAAATGTGGTTTGTGCCCATGAGGATTCATAGCTTGGGAAGAAGGGCATCTCAGCAGACACTTATGTGATACTTTGGAAAGGGCTCTGGAACCCTGAAGATGCAGAACCCAACTCTGCTAGGGTGGGGATGGGGATAGCTTTACTGAAGCAGCCATCCTGTCCTGGGTCTTGGGGATGGCATTGAGGTTTGTCAGATGGAGTAGGTCCCAACCAGGACTCTAAAGGCATGGCATTGTGAATGGGCCTGGCATGGTCTAAAGAGGGTGGGGTGACACTGGAAAGGCATATGCAGGCCAGATTGTATTAGATTTTTTGCTACAGGTAATAGGAACCATTGAATGCCATTTTTCAGAGGAGTCTCATGCTTAACGCAATATTTTTAAAAATAAGTGGTGCCCCCAGCAGCTCACGTGGCCCCAGGCCTCAGGTGTGCTCCTCTGTCCCTCTAGGCATCGTGAAGTTTGGTGAGGTCGCCCTGTAGCCCCCTGAGTTGACCGCCAAGCCCAGGAAGAGCATGAGCACGGGGCAGCCTGGCAAGAAATCACTGATGTGATGCTTTTGAGCCCTGGCGGTGTGTCCTGGCCTCCATCCACCTCCATGATCCACCTCCATGACCCGGATCGTGGTGGAGGAGAGAGAGCGGGCTGTGCAGGCCTACAGGGCGATAAAGAAGCTGCAGTGGCCTCAGTCAGCTCACCTCCCTCCCAGGAAGAAGACCTGCCTTTGAGAGACTACCTGCACTGGGTGGGGGTGAGGGATAGGGGGTCCCCAGATCAAAGTCCTTTCCCTGTACGCACCCCCGGACACAGTCTGGTGCACCAGCTCCCGAGTTCGGGAAAGGGCTCCAGTCTTTGCTCTAATTTTTTTCTCCCTAAAGACCACTCTTTCAAGCGAGACCATCTGCCAGGCCCATCCCGCCGTACATCACCTGTGCCGAGCGCCTATAGAAGGGGCCAGCGCCTGGTTGAGTCATAGTCAGTTACCCTGGTACTGTTCCCGAGCCTAGCATTGCCCTCAGCTGTTCTGCACACACAGGTCCAGGCTGAGACAACCACAGGCAACCCCATAATCCCATCCCTAAGTGCCAATTGATTGTAGACACTGTGAATTCAGGTCAACCGAATCCATCACAGGCTCCTGAGATTCACTGAGCAGCAGCCGGATTTG